AGGTTTACGCAGTACTCTCCAATGAGATACCAAAATTTCAAAGGTATTCTCAATTGTTCTTCGTACACGTGATAATCTGTAGTTGAATATTTTTTTCTTTTCATTTAAATTTTTTCCTGAATAAGGTTTCATTAAATTCTTCGATAAAGGAAAGCCTTCATTTCCAATAAAAAAATATGTTGATTCATTGCTTCCTGACAATTTTATTTCATTTCTTAACAAATTCAATTTTTGTATTCTTAATAATTTTCCGAATTCAGATTCATAAAATATACCTGCATCATTTTGATTTTCATACGAACCAATATCAACTAAAGTGAATTTATAATTAGAATCACAAGCAGCCATTAATATTATACTGAACTTTTTTTATAATTATTGTGATATAAACTGCCAGAGTGTGAAGGAGCTTGAATAACGCAATGTTTGCCATCAAATGAACCAAGACAATTTAGAAAATTCCATTTTTCAAGAAATCCTGTACTAAATTCCTGTGACTCACTTATAATCTGTTTCAGATGGCGACTGTAAAATTTTAGGAAGTAAAAAACATTTGAAATGACTTCAGTTGTTTCTTTTATAATAGCACGTGCTGTTGATTCTCCAATATGATATGCCGATGCTACGGACAGTATTTGGTCTATAATAACTAAATATCTAAAATGATAATTTTATTTGATATTTTTATTTTATTTTTTTTAAGTTTCTGATTTTTAAGGCAACAAAAGTCATTAATTAATAATTGAATATCTAATTTCAGTATTTTATTTTTATATTTTATGAATAATAAATATTTTTATTAACCAATATTACAAATAATTTTTCGAGATATATTCAATTGTATAAAATATATTTCATAAATATACAATAGATTAAAAAATATGTACCTCAGTGTTAGAGACAAGTGGCAAAGCTCTCCAGTTTTGTTTTTCAAGTTTTGGAAATACCAATTGGAAATACCAATAAAATATAAAAGCAATCAACTGTCATCCTTGTATATTGAAAAAATATATCAGTATCATCTTTTAGCTTTTGGAATAAAACAGCAAAGTCTATTTGTTGAGGTCGATTTTCATTTATAGATCTCACCCAGAATCTTCGTTTGCGCTGTTTTCTTTTCCAAATAACAAATAATTTACACCATTGTATGATGTTAAAAGAAAATTAGGATTATCCCATATATTTTTTTTATAATAAATAATAATATTTACATGTTTAACAATTTCATTGTATAGGTTAGTGTAGACAATATATAAGTTTTTTCATTATATTGGAAACATTACTTGTTCAATAAATATGTTGTACTTACAAATAAATATATTTTTATAGGTATTTACTTTATTTATTAGCCTATTGTTTATTTTAAATTATAATAATAGCCTATTGCTTATTTATTATTATAATAATATAATTATAATAATAATTTAATAAGATATTAGAATATAATTTAAAACACACAATGAGGCATTTTGTGAAACTTTCTGGTATATTGCGGAATACATTTTAAATCTAAAAATAATTCCTGATTGGTGGAATTACATTTTATTCTTACGGTTAATGATTATAGTCTCGCTCTCTCTGCGGACGTTTTATGATTGGTTGAATAAATCTTTGAATACACTCATTCATTGGCTAATTCTTATGTTACTTCTTACGACTATGGTTACGTAAATTTGTGTGCGGAAGTCCTAAAGGGACTTATTGTGGACCGACGCTTAATCGTTTGAAGTCGACTTAGTCTCAATCCACAATAGGTATTTAATCTTTAAGCCGTAAGAAATTGATCAATCATAGTCAATTATTTTATTCATATTCGATTATAATTGGTCAATTTCTTACTTCTTAAAGCTTGAACCTGGTATTTATAGTCAGTTCTTATATTTAAGATTGCTTAAATAAACTCACACAGATATCTTATTGGTTGAAATGTTATCTTAAGACGATCTTAAATATAAAAATTATGAATACTGGCCTAAATCATCTATTGTGGGCCGATATTTACAGATGTCTATTTTCTAGATGTTATTAAGCTCCAGCAGTTATAATCGACTGAGAGTCGACTTAAAGTCAGCTTTGTGTTGTTAGAGATATTTCTCTAATAAAAGATAGATAAATTTGTATAAATACGAACTCTAAGGCCTGTTCTACAATGCGTCGTGTGTCAGTGTCGCAAGTAACAAATCACAAGAATTGCCACCAATCACAGTTGAATGTGAGGAAAATACTTGATTATGATTGGCTCATTCTTACGGCCCACGACCCGCGACACCGACACGCGACGCATTGTAGAACAGACCTAAATAATATTACAGTGCATTCATCCCAGAAGCTTAGATAGGTTGCGTTTAGAAATATCATCGATAACGTTCAGAGGGTCAATCATGTTTACGTGAAATTTTTCACTTTTCATTTTTCACTTTTTATTTTTCATTTTTCACACCTTGACATTACACGTGAAACTTTTCACGTACAGCGATTATATATGTAGCTTGGATGCGTGGAAAATGAAATCATGAAACATAATTTCATAGGTTTTATA